TACCCTATAAATTACTGCTCCTGTACTCAAGGACATATACAAGAATGTTCATAATAGCATTGTTTGAAATGGCAGGGAGGGAAAAAAGGAAACAATCTAAATGTCTATGAATAGGAAATTTTTTTTAACCTTGAATCCTCTGAGGATGATTTTTTTTTTTTTGTCTGTGTTGGGTCTTCGTAGCTGCACATGGGCTTCTCACTGCAGTGGCTTCTCTTGTTACAGAGCATGGGCTTTAAGCGCACAGGCTTCAGTGGTTATGGCACGTGGGCTCAGTAGTTGTGGCTCGTGGGCTCTAGAACACAGGCTCAGTAGTTATGGCGCACAGGCTTAGTTGCTCCGCGGCATGTGGGATCTTCCCGGACCAGGGCGTGAACCGGTATCCCCTGCACTGGCAGGCGGATTCTCAACCACTGCACCACTAGGGAAGCCCCTGAGGATGAATCTGAATCCAATTCATTCATAATACATTGCACAAATCACGGTTTCAAGGTCAGGACTTTTTTTTTTTGATAGATTTCAATGTTTATAATTTAATATTTCCTTCTTGTATCCCTTTCACACATATGAATAAGCCTAAACATTCCAAATAGGGAAAACATGCACTATTGGATTATTAACTGGAGAAAGCTGTGTAGCTCTCTGTCTTCCACAATGGCTCACAGGGTTGAAATGCCTTGTTGAATTTACCATGGTTCAGGTACTAGCCCTGAGATGCGCAAGTCAGAAACTTGAGTTGTCACTTCACTAAAGGTGAATCTATGTCCTTAGGAAGACTCACATCAACCAAGAGACTGATACATGAAATAAGAATATCAATTTCTTAATTCATAATTAGATGTGAGACTGCTTGGGGGGCATGAGAAACCCGGTCATAATCAGAAAATTTACTGATAAGCAAGGAATCAGTTGCATTCAGCTAAGACACATTCACTAGAACGTAAGCGCCATGAGGACATTTTTGTCTGATTTTTCCACTGCTAAAATTCCAGCGTCTATAACAACACCTGATTCAATAAAAATCTATTAAATGAATGAATAAGGAGAAACGTAAGTATCCATCTCCACAATATGCAAAGACTGATCTCAAGATTCAGCTACTGGAGTTCTTGCATCAGGGTATTCTGATTCCACTACAGTGCCAGAGCAGGAGGCGCCAATTTTGGCGTCTGAGATTCTTTTCCTATGCTTCCAGGACTGATCCTAGTAGATACATTTAGTTGCCTAGACTACAGCTATTCCCTTCTAATTCCTTGCTAACAGCATTCCAATTTTGTTCAGGGCAGCAACGTGCTCAACCTCAAAGAACGAATCACAATTCATCTTGGCCAAACATAGCATCTCTGTTCCCCTGTGCCAAATACTCACTGTCCCAGCCTCCCTTGCAGCCATGGGTAGCCGTATTACCCAGTACTGTCCAATAAGACATAAAGGGAAGACTTCTGGAGTATTCTAGTAAAGATGTTCCTTTCCAGATAAAAAGACAGAGCCTCAGCCAGAGAAAGATTTTAGCTCCTGACCTTTCCTCCCTGTTTAGGATGCAGATGTGAGGAAATGATGCTCGGAGCTACTGCAGCCCTTTTATGTTCAAGAGATGAGTTGAGAATAATTGGCAGAGTGGAAGAGTTTCAAAAGCCCAGTTCCTCTGTAACATGGTTAATTGCTGAACTAGCCCGGAAACTGGCTACCTCCAGTCTTCTAATTGAGTTTTTTAAGTTTTCATGGCTTTAGCTACTGTAAGTAGGTTATTCTGTTAGTTGTAGTCAAAAGCATTCCTAACTGATACAATGATTAAGGTTGTTATAAGATATACCTTTTCTCTTTAGGTATGTTAATACAGTCAGTCAGTTTATAGTCAAATATTAACTGGCCTAGGATACAATTTGAATATCTCTGCTCGATTTTAAATTTCACTTTCAGAGCCTATCCTAATCTCACTGATTTCTAATGCCACTACCCAATGTGACAGCACTGAGCACCTCAGGTCTCCTTTTCCCAACACTCCTTTGCCTGATCTGTTCCTTCTTTCAAATGTATCCAAGTTGTGCCAGGTTGCTGGCACTTCTGAACCAAAATAATCTCTTTTATCATGATAAACAGAAACTGATTTCAATGCTGAATGAATCAGAATATAGTTGATGTTATCAACAAAAGCTACTGAATTCCATTTGTGGGAATCTGGATATCATGCTTATTTATTCTTTATTTCATTCCTTTTTTTTTTTTTTTTTTTGCGGTACGCGGGCCTCTCACTGCTGTGGCCTCTCCTGTTACGGAGCACAGGCTCCAGACGCGCAGGCTCAGTGGCCATGGCTCACGGGCCCAGCCACTCGGCGGCATGCGGGATCCTCCCAGACCGGGGCACGAACCCGTGTCCCCTGCATCGGCAGGCAGACTCTCAACCACTGCGCCACCAGGGAAGCCCTCATTCCATTTTTGAGAGGTAAATATAAAATGTTTTAGGTGTTTCCTTTGGTGATTTCTTTTTTTTTTCATTTCTTAGTTAAGTGGTTTATTAATATTCTTTCCCATTTTCATTTTCACTCTCCTTCAACTTAACAAATATACTCCTTGTCCTTAAAAGCAAGCGAAGACCTATCGTTCATATTTTTAAAGGATTCCAAATTTAAGTTACCTTTAGGAGAAAAAAACAGTCCTTAGTGTTCAAATATACAATTTGAACAAATTGCTTTATTTCCCCTCCCTACTCCTTTTGTGATTTCTTACCTGATAGGCATAAGATATCAGAAACAACAGCAGTCCCACACTTCCTGTTTGTCCCATCTGTTCTTTATTCCTTTTTTCCTCTTTTCCTCTCTTCCCTTGGATTATTTTTTATGAACCCATTTTATCTCCTCTATTGACTTATTAGTTATTCCTTTTTAAGAAATTTAGTCGTTGCTCTGAGCTTTACAATATATAACTTTAACTTATCACAGTTTACTTTAAAGGTTATAGCATTTAACATATAATGTAAGAATCATATAACAATATACGTCCATCCCATCTCTCCCATTCTTTGTGCTCTTGTGCTCATACATTCTACTTCTACAGATGTTATAAATCCCATAATATACTGTTGTTTCTCTTACTTTAAGTAGTTAAGTATCTTTTAAAGACATTAAAAGATGATACAAATAGATGGAGAGATATACCATGTTCTTGGATTGGAAGAATCAACATTGTGAAAATGACTCTACTACACAAAGCAATCTACAGATTCAATGCAATCCCTATCAAACTACCACTGGCATGTTTCACAGAACTAGTACAAAAAATTTCACAATCTGTATGGAAACACAAAAGACCCCGAATAGCCAAAGCAATCTTGAGAACGAAAAACGGAGCTGGAGGAATCAGGCTCCCTGACTTCAGACTATACTACAAAGCTACAGTAATCAAGACAGTATGGTACTGGCACAAAAACAGAAACATAGATCAATGGAACAGGATAGAAAGCCCAGAGATAAACCCACGCACATATGGTCACCTTATCTTTGATAAAGGAGGCAAGAATATACAGTGGAGAAAAGACAGCCTCTTCAATAAGTGGTGCTGGGAAAACTGGACAGCTACATGTAGAAGTATGAAATTAGAACACTCCCTAACACCATACACAAAAATAAACTCAAAATGGATTAAAGACCTAAATGTAAGGCCAGACACTATCAAACTCTTAGAGGAAAACATAGGCAGAACACTCTATGACATACATCACAGCAAGATCCTTTCTGACCCACCTCCTAGAGAGATGGAAATAAAAACAAAAATAAACAAATGGGACCTAATGAAACTTAAAAGTTTTGCACAGCAAAGGAAACTATAAACAAGACCAAAAGACAACCCTCAGAATGGGAGAAAATATTTGCAAATGAAGCAACCGACAAAGGATTAATCTCCAAAATTTACAAGCAGCTCATGCAGCTCAATATCAAAAAAACAAACAACCCAATCCAAAAATGGGCAGAAGACCTAAACAGACACTTCTCCAAAGAAGATATACAGATTGCCAACAAACACATGAAAGGATGCTCGACATCATTAATCATTAGAGAAATGCAAATCAAAACTACAATGAGGTATCATATCACACCTGGCAGAATGGCCATCATCAAAAAATCTAGAAACAATAAATGCTGGAGAGGGTGTGGAGAAAAGGGAACCCTCTTGCACTGTTGGTGGGAATGTAAATTGATACAGCCACTATGGAAAACAGTATGGAGGTTCCTTAAAAAACTAAAAATAGAACTACCATATGACCCAGCAATCCCACAACTGGGCATATACCCTGAGAAAACCAGAGTTCAAAAAGAGTCATGTACAAAATGTTCATTGCAGCTCTATTTACAATAGCCAGGACATGGAAGCAACCTAAATGTCCATCGACAGATGAATGGATAAAGAAGATGTGGCACATATATACAATGGAATATTACTCAGCCATAAAAAGAAACGAAATTGAGTTATTTGTAGTGAGGTGGATGGACCTAGAGTCTGTCATACAGAGTGAAGTAAGTCAGAAAGAGAAAAACAAATACCGTACCCTAAGACATATATACGGAATCTAAAAAAAACAAAAAAGGTCCTGAAGAACCTAGGGGCAAGACAGGAACAAAGACACAGACCTACTAGAGAATGGACTTGAGGATATGGGAGGGAAGGGTAAGCTGTGACAAAATGAGAGAGTGGTATGGACATATATACACTACCAAACGTAAAATAGCTAGCTAGTGAGAAGCAGCCGCATAGCACAGGGAGATCAGCTCGGTGGTTTGTGACCACCTAGAGGGGTGGGATAGGGAGGGTAGGAGGGAGGGAGACACAAGAGGGAAGAGATATGGGAACATATGTATATGTATAACTGATTCACTTTGTTATAAAGCAGAAACTAACACACCATTGTAAAGCAACTATACTCCAATAAAGATGTTTAAAAAATAAAAATAAAATAAAGACATTAAGAACAAGAAAAATGTCTTTTATATGACGCACACATTTACCATTTCTGGTACTCTTCATTCCTTTGCATAGATTCTTGTGTCCATCTGGTATCATTTTCCTTTAACCTGAAGAACTTCTTTTAGCATTCCTTGTGGTACAAGTTCACTAGTGATGAATGCTCTTGGCTTTCGCTTATCTGAAATGTCTTCATTTTGCCTTCATCTTTGAAGGACATTTTCACTGGATATAAAATTCTGGGTTGAAAGCATTCTTCCCATGCTTTAGAGATGTTGTTCCACCATCTTCTGGTTTGCATAGTTTTTGATGAGAAAGCAGTGATTAGTCTTAACTTAAGATTTTCTCTGCATCACTAGTTTTGAGAAATTTGATTCCGCAGTGCCTTGATGTGGTTTTCTTTGTGTTTATGCTGCTTGGCATTCACTGGGATTCTTGGATATGTTTGTTTGTAGTTTTCAACAAATGTGGAACATTCTGGAAGCTGAGTAAGAGAATTATAAAATTGTAAACTGAGCTTCATTGTTATAGAATGCTGAAGGTAAATGAAGAGTACTTAACCACTATTCACAGCTCTTTAACAGCTTTTTGTTTTAAAACCATGGATTCAGAGACTAGATACTGAAAGAAAGTTTGGGACATTGTTCTATCTGCTGTCTTGCCCAGATTCTAAGCACTGTAACTGCATAACTTCCCTCTATTTGGTATAACCTTAAAATATCTGTAAAAAGGAGAAGGGAAAAAAAAGTTGTGTGAATCAGTACGTTCTGCCTAATGCTTTTTCAATATTTTCTCCTGTTTTCACCAAGCCTACCTCTTTAAAAAAGATCTCCACATGTGGTTTAGAGTTGGAGTGTTAATTAGGTCACAGATGAGGTCCACTTTTAGAGACAGGATTGTAAATAATTTATCCTGCATAATGTGTTCTGGATTTGACCTTGTCCACATGATGTCTGGCTAGGCAGATGAAAAACTCCAGGCAGAGTACAATAGGGATTACAATACTGATTACCCAGCCTCTGTGATGATTCCTGATTCTATGATCATTAGAGCAATGTTCCCTCATTGGTTGGCAGATGTTAACAGAATCATTGCACATTTATTATTCATGAGGAAGGTGAAGCTTCATGACAAAGGTCAATGAATAAGAGAATGATCCCTGTGTAACGGCAGGAAGAAAACTGATTTAGGGACAAATCCTTCTCTCTCTGCATTGGACCATTCACAATTATTCTTCCTAATCCAAAAATTGTTACAGTCTTTATTTTACCAAGTAGACAGAAAGGAATAAACATTTAGAGGATAAGTGCTGTATTCTAAGTACTTTACAAAGGGCTTTACAGCAGCATTTAATATTCACAACCTTAGGAGGAGGAAATTATTCTTATTAACTTCATTTGAAAGGTAAGCACACTGAGATGCAAGAACCTTGTCCAAAATCACACAGCTGGAGCCTACCCCGCTCTTTGGTGGGGCTAATGGCAGACTCTGGGAAGGCTCACGCCAAGCAGCACTTCCCAGAACTTCTGCTGCCAGTGACCTTGTCCCCACGGTGAGCCACAGCCACCCCCTGCCTACACAGGAGACCCCCCAACACTAGCAGCCGTGTGGCTGACAGGGTCTTGGTGCTCCGGCTGGGTGCCAGGCCTGTGCCTATGAGGTGGGAGAGCCGAGCTCAGGACATTGGTCCACCAGAGACCTCCCAGCTCCACGTAATATCAAGCAGCGAGAGCTCTCCCAGAGATCTCTGTCTCAATGCTAAGACCCAGATCCACTCAACGGCCATCAAGCTACAGTGCTGGACACCCCATGCCAAACAATGAGCAAGACAGGAACACAAGCCCACCCATGAGCAGAGAGGCTGCCTAACATCATAATAAGGCCACAGACACACCAAAACACACCAGCAGACGTGGACCTGCCCACCAGAAAGTCAAGATCCAGCCTCATCCACCAGAACACAGGCACTAGTCCCCTCCACCAGGAAGCCTACACAACCCACTGAACCAAATTTAGCCACTGGGGACAGACACCAAAAACAACGGGAACTATGAGCCTGCAGCCTGCAAAAAGGAGACCCCAAACACAGTAAGATAAGCAAAATGAGAAGACGGAAAAACACACAGCAGATGAAGGAGCAAGATAAAAACCCACCAGACCTAACAAATGAAGAGGAAATAGGCAGTGAACCTGAAAAAGAATTCAGAATAATGATAGTAAAGATGATCCAAAATCTTGGAAGTTGAAAGGAGGAAGTATAAGAAAAGTTTAACAAGGACCTAGAAGAACTAAAGAGCAAACAAGCAATGATGAACAACACAATAAATGAAATTAAAAATTCTCTAGAAGGGATCAATAGCAGAATAACTGAGACAGAAGAACGGATAAGTGACCTGGAAGATAAAATAGTGGAAATAACTACTGCAGAGAAGAATAAAGAAAAAAGAATGAGAAGAACTGAGGACAGTCTCAGACACCTCTGGGACAACACTAAACGCACCAACATTCGAATTATAGGGGTCCCAGAAGAAGAAGAGAAAAAGTGATTGAGAAAATATTTGAAGAGATTATAGTTGAAAACTTCCCTAATATGGGAAAGGAAACAGTTAATCAAGTCCAGGAAGCACAGAGAGTCTCATACAGGATAAATCCAAGGAGAAACACGCCAAGACACATATTAATCAAAACTGTCAAAAATTAAATACAAAGAAAACATATTAAAAGCAGCAAGGGAAAAACAACAAATAACACACAAGGGAATCCCCATAAGGTTAACAGCTGATCTCTCAGCAGAAACTCTGCAAGCCAGAAGGGACTGGCAGGACATAGTTAAAGTGATGAAGGAGAAAAACCTACAACCAAGATTACTCTACCCAGCAAGGATCTCATTCAGATTCGATGGAGAAATTAAAACCTTTACAGACAAGCAAAAGCTAAGAGAATTCAGCACCACCAAACCAGCTTTACAACAACTGCTAAAGGAACTTCTCTAGGCAGGAAATACAAGAGAAGGAAAAGACCTACAATAACAAACCCAAAACAATTAAGAAAATGGGAATAGGAACATACATATCGATAATTACCTTGAATGTAAATGGATTAAATGCCCCATCCAAAAGACACAGACTGGCTGAATGGATACAAAAACAAGACCTGTATATATGCTGTCTACAAGAGACCCACTTCAGACCCAGGGACACATACAGACTGAAAGTGAGGGGATAGAAAAACATATTCCATGCAAATGGAAATCAAAAGAAAGCTGGAGTAGCAATTCTCATATCAGACAAAATAGACCTTAAAATAAAGACTATGGAGACCTTCAAGATGGCGGAAGAGTAAGATGTGGCAATCACTTGCAAACAAGAGGCCTGATTAACACCTCACTTATTGCTGACCCGGCTCTTTTAATTGCGGCCTAAAGTCATATAATACTTTACATTTATAAATAGAAGTCTTACACTTTTGATGGTCTACCCCAAAGATGAAACAGCTTTCCACGTCCTAAATTATAATTTCTCAAAAAGAAATGTAAGGTAAGGTAAGGTAAAGTAAGGTAAGGTAAGGAAAAAAAAAGAAAAGAAAAGAAAAGAAAAGAATATCTTGGCCCATAATTCAACTATACTTCAATAAAAAATAAATTTTTAAAAAAAGGAAATCTTGGCCCAAAACAAGGTGTTTTCTTGGAGGTGGTTGTATTTATTTATTGATCATTCTCACAGGTTATCACCCATCTGTGATATGTAGCAAGAAAACCACTCTCTGAGAAAGACTCAACTTCTATGACAACTGTGGAACCCAGATGTTATCAAACTTTAGATAATTCAAGCTAGAGCAAGCACATCTAGAGAGTCATCTCAAATTACACTTTCATGTAGTGAGGACCTGAAGTTTTAGAGTGTTTCTCTAGCTCCAGATCAACAAAATTACATCTCTCCTCACCTAGTAATTTCACTTCTAGGAATCTACCTAAGGAAACAATCAGAAACCTGGGCTAAAATTTGGGTAAAAAGATGTTTGTCAAAGTATTAGGGACTCCCCTGGTGGTGCAGTGGTTAAGAATCCACCTGTCAACGCAGGGGACACGGGTTCAATCCCTGGACTGGGAAGATCCCACATGCTGTGGAGCAACTAAGTCCGTGCGCCACAACTACTGAGCCCACGAGCCATAACTACCAAAGCCCGTGTGCCTAGAGCCTGTGCTCCACAATAACAGAAGCCACCGCAATGAGAAGCCCACGCACCACAACAAAGAGTAGCCCCCGCTTGCCACAAGTAGAGAAAGCCCGCACGCAGCAACGAAGACCCAACACAGCCAAAAATAAATAAATAAATAAATTTATTAACAAAACAAAGTATTATTTATCATTGGGAAAAAGCCCTGCATCTTCAACAACAGAATAGTAAAATAAACTTCACAATGGAACTCTAAGGAACCATTATATATATTTTTTAATTTAAATATACCCAGTGACACGGGGAAATACTCCATACTATTAATAGTAATAATGCTAACAATTATGCCAGGTGCTATGCTGGGTATTTTTTTTTTGCCACACTGTGAGGCTTGTGGGATCTTAGTTCCCCAACCAGGGATTGAACCCAGGCCCTCAGCAGTGAGAGCGCAGAGTCCTAACCACTGGACCACTAGGGAATTCCCACTGGGTACTTTATATGTATTACTTCATTTAATACTCACAACAATTAACCATATGAAGGGTACTATTATTATTTACTAATTACAGATTTAGAAATGGTGACTTAACAAGGTTAAGTATTGACACAATCACACAGATGGGGAGTATCTAAGTCCAAAGCTGTAGTAGATAAGAAGCCACTACACTATGCTGCAGGATAGACATTATAGATACATGATACCAATTTTTTGTTATTACATACGCACAACGCACTCAGGTGATTTTTAAATTTTTTTTTTCTCGGTACGCGGGCCTCTCACTGTCGTGGCCTCTCCCGTTGTGGAGCACAGGCTCCGGACGCGCAGGCTCAGCAGCCATGGCTCACGGGCCCAGCCGCTCTGCGGCATGTGGGAGCTTCCCGAACTGGGGCACGAACCCGTGTCCCCTGCATCGGCAGGCGGACTCCCAACCACTGCGCCACCAGGGAAGCCCCTAAAATATTTTTAAATGAGTATTGCAAAGCACAGACCAGTCGGAATGGACACTACAACCAATCAGAATGGAAGCCAGGTGTAAACAACCTAAATGGCCGTCTGATTTCGGTTAGCCTTTGTTGTGTAACAAAGAACCGTAAATTTTAGTGGCTTAAAACAACAATTCTACTCACTCATGATGCTGTGGGTTGATAACATGGACTGGGATCAGTGAGGGGGTTCTTCTGCTGGTCTTGCCTAAGGTCACTTGTGTGGCTGCAATCATTTGACAGCTCAATTGGGACTGAATGGTCCAAGGTGGCATCGCTTACGCATCTGGCCTCACTTACGCATCTCCTCATGAGGTCTTTCATCCTCAAGGAAGCTAGCTCAAGCTTCTTCATATGGCAGCAGCAATGTTCCAAGAGGGTGTGAACAGAAGCTTTAAGATCTCTTGAGGTCTTGCTTAGGAGTTGTACATCACCACTTTTACTGTGTTCTATTGGTCAAGGCAAGTCACAAGGCCAGTCCAAATTCAAGGAGTGGGGACCTCTTATTTATTTGTGTGTTTGTTTATTCATTTATTTATTTATCTATTTATTCATTTATCTATTTGTTTTTTGGCTGCGTTGGGTCTTCCCTGCTGCGTGCGGGCTTACTCTAGTTGCAGCAAGCGGGGCCTACTCTTCATTGCAGTGCGCGGGCTTCTCATTGTGGTGGCTTCTCTTGTTGCCGAGCACAGGCTCCAGGTGCCTGAGCTTCAGTAGTTGTGGCACACGGGCTCAGTAGTTGTGGCTCAAGGGCTCTAGAGTGCAGGCTCAGTAGTTGTGGTGCACAGGCTTAGTTGCTCCATGGCATGTGGGATCTTCCCGGACCAGGGCTCGAACCCGTGTCCCCTGCACTGGCAGGCAGATTCTTAACCACTGCACCACCAGCGAAGTCCTAGATTCTACCTCTTGACGGGAGGAGCTGCAATGAATTTGTGGTTATTTTAATCCACTACACTGTATATACCAACTGAATATCAGCCCTTTATGTATATGTACATAGAAAAAAAGACTGGAAGGAAATCAACCTACTAATAGGGATTATTTTTATTAACTTTTTGTATTTCTTTTTTTATATATAAATTTATCTATTTATTTATTTTTGGCTGTGTTGGGTCTTCGTTGCTGTACATGGGCTTTCTGTAGTTGCAGTGAGTGGGGGCCACTCTTCGTTGCAGTGTGCAGGCTTCTCACTGTCGTGGCTTCTCTTGCTGCGGAGCACGGGCTCTAGGCGTGCAGGCTTCAGTAGTTGTGGCATGTGGGCTCAGTAGTTGTGGCTCGTGGGCTCTAGAGCTCAGGCTCAGTAGTTGTGGCACACGGGCTTAGTTGCTCCGCAGCATGTGGGATCTTCCCGGGCCAGGGCTCGAACCCGTGTCCCCTGCATTGGCAGGCGGATTCTTAACCACTGCGCCACCAGGGAAGCCCCCTTTTTGTATTTCTGCACTTATATTTTCTTAATCAATATGCATTATTTTTATAAACAGAAAAAAAAAAACTATGACACCTTCCATAATAGTTTAAAAGGGCAAGTTGGACAGTTTCACTTTGGCAGGGAAATCAACAGAATTCCTTCTTTCCTAGCTCTACCACTTCCTGGCTGTTGCAATTTTGTAGCCCTCTGAGCCTCTGGTTTTCTCTGTTGCAAACATTGAGCTAACATTAGCTATTTCACAAGACAGTTGATATTAAAGAAGTCAATGAATGTAAAACACCCACGATGTCCCTTGTCTGTTTCCTTTCCTCCTACTCTCCCCCTACTCAGACCTCTTCAGTTATAGGAATTATATTTCTCACAAAGATTAAATTCTGTTGTAGTAAACTACAAACATATCTGCAAAGTAAACTGTATGCCCTGAGGGCTTGTTTCAAAACTTAGTCCTCCTTTATAACCCCCAAGTACCTAGCATAAGAGTCAATAAATAGTTATTGATTTTGTTGACTCATTAGCCAAATAAAAGTTTTCCAAATGCTAGCGAGTTAACCCCTTTTTATGCAGTTTTAAATTTAAATTCCAGTATCAACAGGGGGTAATGTTGGTCCTCCATGGCATCTATCTATTCCTGACAATATAAAACCTAACTTGATTCATAAAGAAAATTCACATTTCTTAGGGTTCTAAGCTTTTACATGTGCAAAAAACGCAATCACAATGAGCTTTTTTTAGCTGCCTGTTTTTCAGAATGGGCTCTCCTTGTCATAATGACAAAGTGAAGCATAAGAGCATGAAACTTAAACTGGAAAAACAGAATAAATAGAAAAAAATTATAGTGTGTTTTAATGAAACAATCATTATTCTAAAAACCTAAGCAGCCCACATTGAAAACGACCTTGTTTTTGCTTCAAGGAGGCAGCTATTATTAGTGCTTAGTCACCTAGTTCTTACTTAACTGTTAGCGGTAACTCGGTAACAAGCTCTCCTGAGTCCTCCCACAAAACAGAACAAAGCAGAGGCAGGAAGGGCCTATGTATGGTCATCTGTGTGCAGTGGTGTCAGGAAAGACACTACCTGAAGTGGCTTTAGGCAGACAAGAATCAATGCTATTTTTAAAGATCTTTGAGAAACACATTTCATAAATTCTCCCAATGACTCACTACGTATGATATCCCCAGAGGGTGGGAAGGGTAACAGTGGAGCTACTTTTGCTTTCTTTTCTACATACAGGATATTGCGAGCAAAGCAGAGAATCACTTGTTGAATGTCGGGGGAGTCATTTGGTGATAATCCACCCTATAGACTGAAAACACGGCAGGCTCCTTTTATGCTTTCTCTTTGACTCATTCCAGAACCCAGGCAGGGCAGCCAAAGCAGGGCCCTCAGAGGACCTGTCTGGAAAGGTGGTTTGTAAAAAGCCAAAAAAAAAAAAAAAAAAAAACAGAAAAACCCTCTATCTGCAAGAGGCTTGAGTACTTGTCCCATTGGGTATAATCCAGGAAGAGCTATACTCTAATCCAACTGTTCTCAAACATTTTACTCTCAGGACATTTAAAAATAATTGAAAAATCCAAAAAGCTTGCCTTCAAAAATTCTAGAAAACATGAGAACACACAAGCACACATTCCTTTAGTCACCAGAGCAATGATGTCATCACACATCTGTAAACTTGTAATTGGTTCGAAATAAAAAGTTTTAAAGGGGATAGGAGAGAAGCACAGGGAATGAGCAAGGAGGGAATATAACAATTTTCAACAGCAATGCAAGCCAGAAGATAGTCAGATATCATCAATATGCTGAACGAAAAAGAACTTCCAACCTCAAACTCGCTAACAGTGAAATAAATCCTTCAAGAACTTTAAGATGAATTTAAAGACATATCTAGACAAGCAAAACAAAAATTTTACAAGAGCAGACCTTCACTAAATGGAAGTATGAAGGAGTGTACCTCAGGCAGAAGGAAAGTGTTTCCACAAGGAAGGTCAGAAATTTAAGAAAAAATAAGGGGAAAAGTAAGAAAGAAAATATTCTGTTAACTCTAAAAATTACCAGCAGAGGGGGGAAAAAATCATTGAGAAATCGAAGTAGCTTACCTTAGGAAATTCTAGAAAACACAATACAAGCACACATTCCTTTAGTCATGAGAGCGATGACGTCATCACACATCAGTTCTCTGGAAAATTTCAGCGAGAGTTAAGAAAGGGAAACGAAATCCTACCATTACTATGAAACTAGTTTTGAAAGGATCTTCGGACCCACAGGGCCCCTCAGACCACCCTATGAGAGCCACTGCTCTAATCCCCTTATCCCCCTATCGCCCAAAGCCAGGTCTCTCCAAGGAAGAAACAGCAAAGTCACTGGGCCAGGGCCAAAAGGGGAACCCCTCTCTTCCTTTTTGCGAAGGTTACTAGGGCACGCTTAGGCTCCGAGGTCGGGCTTTCGGGAAGGCTCCGCCAGGCGCCGCTAGAGGGCGCCGCTAGAGAGCCGCACCTGGCGCCTCACCGCCCGCGCCCCCGCCCGCGCGGGCCGGGTTCACACGGGCGGCCGGAAGAGAGGGCGGTGCCCGGAAGAGGGGGGGGCGGTCGCGGCCTCATTGGACGAGGCGCCGCGGCCTCATTGGACGAGGCGCCTCATTGGACAAGGTGCCTCCGCCTCACGTCCCGGGGCGGGGCTTCTTCGCGCTAAAAAGCGGAGCCGGGCGGCCGAAACGAGTGGTTGCTGCCTCAGTTAGCTGGTGTTCGTGTTTCGTTCGCCGAGGTTTCGTCGGGTCATGGTGCCATCCTGACTGGGAAGAGGACGCTCCCGGGAGACGAATGAGGAACCACCTCCTCTTACTGTTCAAGTACAGGGGCTTGGTCCGCAAAGGGAAGAAAAGCAAAAGAAGAAAATGGCTAAATTCGTGATCCGCCCGGCCACCGCCGCCGACTGCAGTGACATTCTGCGGCTGATCAAGGTAGCGGGAGGCATGGGCTCTCCCTGCGGCGGGCGGTGGGGTCCTGGTCCCCGGTAGGTCCCCCTCTCTCCGCCTGCCTCCCCCAGCCCCGGCCCGGCCGCGCCGCTCCGGGCGAGACTCAGGGTATGAATCCCCGCCCAGCCCACCCCATTCCCCCGAGCTGGCCGGGCCGGAGTCTCACTTAATTTTCTGCTTCTCTTCTTTTCTCTTGTGTACATCAACCCAGGAATTGGCTAAATACGAATACATGGAAGAGCAAGTAATATTAACTGAAAAAGGTAACGCATCAGTGGCGGGGCGGGGGACGAGCGTCCGGTGCCTGCCACCTTCATCGAGGCCAACACTGTCCCTGCTGCCTCTTCTTGCAGATCTGCTAGAAGATGGTTTTGGAGAGCACCCCTTCTACCACTGCCTGGTCGCAGAAGTGCCCAAGGAGCACATGACTCCAGAAGGTAATCGCCCTCTCCTTCCAGAAGCCGGAGAGACCGAGTGTTCTGGAAGACGTAGTGGCTGCTCTGTAGAAGCACTGACAACACAGGCTGAAGTTACTTACTGAGAAGTTGGCCAGAAATACTAGCCAGCCAGTGTTCAGACTACTGAGAAAAAAAAATAGATTGCTGCACTTAATAATAGGGCGGGTTAGAAGAGCTGTTTAAGTATCAGTGCTGTGGAGACCCGGAAAAGTTAGGTATAAAGTCGTTTGTTGTAATTCAGTTTCATAAATGGTTCTTGTTTGACCCTAACGTAACCGTTTTTGTATTTGTGTTAAATTACATTTTTTTCTTTAATTTGTCCCAATCTTCAGGTTACAGTCTCTAGCTTCGCCATGTACATGGCCCTTCCGTGTACATGGATGGGCGGGGAGGTAACTAAAAGATCCTTTACACAATAAAGTAGATGATCATGATAAATGAGGTAAGGCCCTATTATCACACACTTAAAACACGGTAGATCAGAAGCTCCATTGTACTCACTTCCTGTTTGCAAAGGACTATAAAATGGCTAGAAAGTTTAATTTGAAACCTTTGCCTCCAATTGGAATTACAGACACCCATAAAGAAGGAGTCAGATGCTTTTTTCCTTTTTTCTTTGTTTTTTCTTTGTCGTTGTTTTTTCCTTTCTGGTCCTTGGGCAGAAGACGGAGCTAAAGAGGGAAGTTGTTGGGCAGGGGCGGTGGGGGGTGCTTAAGGTTTTTTCTGAGGTCATTTCCTCATACTAGAAAAAATGAGCAGAAAACATAAGGGATGAGGTACTTTCCAGAGGTATATGGATGTTACATCACACCTGGGTACCTCTACTTCTTCCGGCTTAAACATTGGGGAGAGCAAATGGAAAATGTGTGAATTGGAAGGCAAGTTCTGAAATTAAACGTTGCTCTTTTGGCCTGATGTCCTGACCTTAAGGAAGCAGAGTTTCTAAACTACAAATACTTAACTATTCTGAACTGCCGTGTAAACCTGACTTATTCCCAAGTCAAGATACCAGTATATCAGTAGGATGTGAATAATGTGTGTGTTTAGTTTTAAGACCATAGCACTTTCGTTCTGGCAAGTAATGAAAGCATTCTCACTTCCTGAGTGTGAGATCCAGCAGATTGCAGAGTGGCCAGTCCACAGTTTTAGCCTGGTTTCAGCTAGCTCTAATGTGTGCTTTTTGCAAATACATGTTCTAAGAACAGTGAGATCATCCAACAGTGGCCTGGATTGCACTAGCATAAAAGTCAGGAGACAGTCTGGCCCACTGGCTACTTATTTCTGTAATACATGCATGTATGTTTTTTAAAAACTTATGATAGACTTCTGATTTTGCAGCTACAACTTTGACGGATTGTTTTTCATCCATAACTCATGTGATACTCTTATTACAGGACACAGCATTGTTGGTTTTGCCATGTACTATTTTACCTATGACCCATGGATTGGCAAACTGTTGTATCTTGAGGACTTCTTCGTGATGAGTGATTATAGAGGTATGATTGAGTTCAGGGGGGCTGCTCTAAAGAGAAATCAGGGCTTGAAGTCCTTAAAATGACCTTTTAAATGGTACTTCTCTTTCTTTTTTAGGCTTTGGCATAGGATCAGAAATTCTGAAGAATCTAAGCCAGGTATGTCTTGGTGTTTGGTTTCCAAATTTGTAAGGGTTACTGGATTATTTTAACACCTGAATCAAAATTGGGTCTTGGAAAGCAGGTGAAATGTCACTGAGTTTGTGTTTTCCTCTCCTGCGTAACAGGTTGCGATGAAGTGTCGCTGCAGCAGCATGCACTTCTTGGTAGCAGAGTGGAATGAACCATCTATCAACTTCTACAAAAGAAGAGGTGCTTCTGATCTGTCCAGCGAAGAGGGATGGAGACTCTTCAAGATCGACAAGGAGTACTTGCTAAAAATGGCAGCAGAGGAGTGAGGAGTGCTGGTGTAGACAATGACAGCTTCCATTCTATTTTAGAATAAATTCTCAACTTACCTTGCTTTCTATCTTATTTGTAGTGAAATGATAGAATGAGCACCCATTCCAAAGCTTTATTACCAGTGGCGTTGTTGCATGTTTGAAGTAAGGTCTGTTTAAGATGGCAATCCTTGTATGCACGTTGGAGTCAGACTTCTGTTGAACATCTTTAATGAACAGCAAGGTGGTATGATAATGTCTATGAAAAAAACTCCACTCTTGTGAGTCATTTCAATGTGTACAATGTACACACTGGTACTTAGAGTTTCTGTTTTGATTCTTTTTTAATAAACTACCCTTTGATTTAATTGTTTGGTGTAAGCATTTTTACTGATCCTTTATTTCTTAGACATGTTTCTTGCTGTTGAGTGCAAAGTAAAAATGCCCAAGAAACATGATAACTTGACAGTTTTTTAAAAAGTTTTTTCTTGTTTTTTTGTTTTTTGGGGGGTTTTTTTTGTTTTTTTTTTTGTTTGTTTTTTGCGGTACACGGGCCTCTCACTGTTGTGGCCTCTCCCGTTGCAGAGCACAGGCTCCGGACGCGCAGGCTCAGCAGCCATGGCTCACGGGCCTAGCCGCTCCGTGGCATGTGGGTCTTCCTGGACCAGGGCACGAACCCGTGTCCCCTGCATCGGCAGGCGGACTCTCAACCACTGCGCCACCAGGGAAGCCCCTAAAAAGAGTTTTTAACCCAGTTTAAAGTGTCTTATGGTCAGAAGCTGTGTTGTGCTGGTATTCCCAATGTCTAGAAAGAAGCCAGTTGAATCCCAAAGTTTTATATGTAGCAACATATAAAAATATGACTTTATATTGATGACACTACACTTAATCCAACAGAATTTTCAAGAGCTTAGAAACTAAGGCCCACAATGAAAAAGCCTATTTGTTACACCAGTAAAAGAGGTGGAAATGGGTTCTGAAATACTGGAAATTGGGGGAAAAAACATCTTGCCCACAACAGCCTCATCCCACACACAAATACTATTCTGAAGGGAAAGTAGATCACTTTGCTAGTTAGGCAGGAACAAAAATTCCACATTTTTAAAGAAATTTTGTAAACTAAAAGGCTGGAGTTGGACACAGGTACCAGTCAGGGTAATTAGCATCCTATTTGGAGGGCAAGTTTCTGATAACTGTGTTAACACATGGGTTTCTAAGCCGAGAAACAACAGGAGGGCTTAAAACTGCTGGGGGTTGGGGGAGAAGTAAATAGAAGCTTTCTCCAGGACTGAAAATGAAACTCACAGAGGGCTGAGGAGGAGACAGTTTTAGATAGGTGAACTCCTTTTATTACTCATGACACTGACCTAAATTCCTAAACCCACTAATTCCCACAGTAATGAAAGTGGTAGTTAATAACCACTGTACTGATTTCCAAGATTAATGTTTTCCAAAAGAAATCATCACGTAACTGAGAAGCAGTACTCTGTCTTCTTACTGTGTTCTCCAGGAAAGAAACACGGGACTCCTCACTCAAAGCGCGATTTGTCCTGCATCCCTTGGTTTCAGTGTCTATTGTGGCTTCCTAAATTAGAAGGCAGCCATATAAACAAGCAGGATCCTGTACTGTGTTTAACAGGAGCGCTTTGGGATTTATTGGTAGCTCAGAGAGCATGTCATGAAAATAGACTTAGAGTCTGTTCTCAACCAGGGTCCTGCTAGACTGGCGAGTAACTATAGGAGAGAAACGCTGGCAAGCATAAAAAGGGTTAACTAAACACAAGGAGCTTTGTGGGGAAAGAAGACATTTTGAAAATTGTGTTTTGGAAAGTGGGCCTCCTTGAGGAAAACAACTACATGCTGACTGTGGTTAAATATGTGAATAAATTAGATTAACCAAGTGAGTTACAATGTAACTCTTTGTTTTCTCATACTTAGAGCTTAGCCCTAAAGGCCCAGTGTTGTCACCATGAAAGCTTTTAGGAAGTTTTCGTATCCACTTTAAAAAAGTCCCTTGAGTTTAAAATTTAGAAGCTGAAACACCACAGCATCAGCCTACTGAATGTTCAACGCTGTTACAAAGACACCTCTTTAAAAACTGAACTATAAAAACAAATCCATAAAGCTTGAAATCACCAGGCAAGTAAGAAAAC